CCCTGCAAATTGTTTATTACTCCTTCCTAAAAATTCCACCAATTCATATTACTATCTTTTTGCTAGGTTACCATGTCTTTCAATTTCAATCCCACATTTTTGAACTGCAATAAATTTTATGTGATCTCATGTAAATTTAAGATCTTTGTGGGGTTACCTAAGTGTTCTTTACATTATATTAAAGTCGAGGTGGCTAATTCTTGATATCACGTGTTTCCTGTCTAAAATTTTTTGTTGAGTCGCCACGTAAGAACAATCTACAAAAGTCAATAAATTGCACAAAGTAAATCTTGGAGACGATATTTTTCAAATATCAAAAAATAGTTTAGTACCAAATCGAGGAACTTTGGGAAATTGTTGGTACAAAGAAAGTTACCCAAAGGGTTCAAAGACTCGCAAAGAAAAATAATTTTCATGTATCGAATCAAAGCCCGAAGAAGGAAAAACTCGATTTAATGCATTATTGGCTGCATGAATGAATTATACATCGGCTACAAAAGAACTCAAATGTTCTTATGTATTTATCTACCTAGGACAATGATGATGATTCAAAATGGTGTTGAGATCCGGTCCTCCGGTGCCACTCTCATTGTCCCTATATCCAACATTAACGCCGCACGACTTTTGTAAAACTCTAATTTCGACTCCACAATCCCAAATTCATGTAATGCAAGACGAGGCAACAGGTTCTTTCCCAACCAAAAATACATGAGAAAGTCGAGTGCTCGAACTAGCTATAAATATAGATGCAATCATCAAACTCATCAGCAAAATTCTTGCATACATCGAATAAGAAGCCATAGTTCGCAATTTAAATGGAAATTCAAAAGAGAATATAGAAAAACAATGGAAAGTTTTCGAATATTCCTAGGTATTTGTTTTGAAAATCGGATTAGAGCCCCATATTTATACTAACAGAACAAACAAGGACAAAATTACACGAGTGGGAATATTTTAAGGCTGCCATAATGGGAATTGTTTAGGCAGATAATCCCAAGTATCAAGATTTGATGTAGGATTGTTATTTTCTATAATCTTTGCACAAAATACAAATTTAATGATGTTTCATATGTGTATCCGAGTAACAGTATGTGACCTATTGGTGCCTTACTCTTTGTTTACTTTTAGTCAATTATCTAGTCATAATTTGTTCTTTAGTTTAGTATGAAAACAAAGAAATTGATTTACAAATTCATAAAGACAAAGTGACCTTTACTCCACCAAACAAGAACGAAAGTTTAGTGGAATCTTTTCAAAATTTCTTAAAAGACATCTTTAATTGATCATATTAATAACTTGGAAGTGCCTTTTGACTTAAAAGTTGGAAACTTTTTTTTCCATTTTTTAAACTGTCTTTTTGTCTACACTTGACCATTGAGATGATTTGAAAGAATGTCGTGATAAGAAATAGATTTTTTATTCCAATCTATTGAGTTTATGGTGTAAGAAGGCACAAAAGAAGGATTGGAAGGAAGATAACGATAAACATATTTACACGTTGAGTACATGGCAACTCGAATCTATAAGTATATGGTTGAGTTAGTTGTGTAGGTAGTTTTTAATAGAATAATGTTATCATTTATCGGGAGAGGTTAACATCTGTTGAGGACCTCTAAGTGACTATTTGATTATCTAACTGTGGCAGAAGGATGGCCACCAAGGTATATTTTCGGGCTCAGCCTATCAATCTCAACCTTATCAAACGCCTCAAATCACGACCCAAAACATAAACTATTCTCCCACACTTCGATTGCTCTAGTTTGTACACACAAAGGACACAAGAAATGGGTGTTTTATTATAGCCACAAAGGCGATAAACAAGAGATGATACTTCTGTTGTTTTTTAAGTCACCAATATCTAGGTGGAATGTTTGATATTGATCCCTAACTCGAATACTAACTAAAATATTAATACAAAAAGAGAGGACACAACAACATGACCTCTAAGGGTCCATTCGGTAGAGTTCCTATTTTTGCTTCCGCTTCTTGTAGAAAAGTTTCTTGAGTAAGATAATTGAAGCCAATTTTTTTTAAAAAAAAAACTCTTCTAGTCAAACAAAGCACTTTCAGAAAATTATTTAAACAAGTATAAAAGCAACTTTGTAGTCTTAGAAATAACTTTTAACTTTTTAAAAGTCTTGTCAA